GCTATGTCCAAAGGTATAACATATACCTGCAAGCACCTCTAAAGTTCACTGTATAACCCTTCATTGGATTTGTGAGTGTGTGTGTGTGTGTGTGTGTGTGTGTGTACATGTGTGTGTGAGCTTTAGTGGTGCTGATTGTGGATTTTGTTACTTTCAAATCACCAGGCTAACGGTTTCCCCTGTTTCCAGTCTTAATACACTTGTAGACATTTTGCTGGAAGCTAGATGAGTAATTTGATACCAGTACCATATTTGCATTATACATATGAAGCATCAACTAGCAGGTGGTTAGCCTTGGTTTAGAATATTCTTTTAACCTGATGGAAGCCTTATTGTGCCTCTTAGCACAGTAAATGTGCCATTCAGAAGGACAAATGCTTAAAAAAATAGATTTGTCTCCACTCCATAATGTGGCTGACTCACATTTCTCTCACATTTTGAATGTCACACTGATCAAATTCATCAGTCACTACTTCATAAACCTAATTGTCAGTTCTGCATTGGTTAGGTCAACAAGCCTCCATGTCCCTGTCACAATGAAAAGGAAACTTTACCACTAAATCCATACTCTCCGCACCTATCTGCCTCGCAGGCACATGATTACTCATATTCACGGTGTTACCCCCTCTGCCATTAAGGATAATTGCTTTGCTTGTCCTGTGTGTGAACTCACTTACACACACTGAAGAACATTCACTCCCTTATAACATGTAACTGCAACTGGAGGCACACCACGTGCAGGAGGACCTCAGGGGGAATGACAAGTTACAACCTTAACAACCTCTTCATCCTCATGTCTCCACTTACTTCTGCTCCTCATAGCCGAGCGATCACTGACTGACTCATTCACTTCCTTGTTCTGAATTCTCAGATGGTCGATGACACCAAACATAAATATTGGAGGGATGAAAGACAAAGTGATGACTATAGCTTCTTTGGATGTCCCCTGGGGCTACTATTTCCATTTAGCTGTGGCTCAGTCATCATCCTAGGTTGGTGATGCAGAGCATTTACCAGCAAAGCCAGAGGAGGTCAGAATTTAATTTCCTTTCTCTTAACTCACCCAGTGTTGTTTCAGTGTGATGTGGCACGCTGGCACTGTGACAGATCTTTTTCTTGAACAAACACATGTATTAATTGGCACCTTTTGGTGTCTGCATGTTGGATTTATATTTATTCAGATGAAATTTTTGCCCATGAACATGACAGAAAAGAAGGGGAAGAGGAGGTGGGATGAACAGTGTGTCTTATGATAAATGTTCCCCCTTTCAGCTCCTGTTCAAATGAAGCCATCTGGAAGCAAACATGAGTCATAGCTCTTATGTTGGAAGCATATTATTAGACCTGCCTGACCTGATACCTTTATGTTGCACATTTAATGTCAACAATCTCAGTTTAGACTATAGCTCAGAACTGATTATTCAAACATGATGAATGTCGTTTTTGTACCCTGCTCTCTGCTTCTATATCATATCACACTTTTCCTTTTTCTCATCTCCCTCTACCCTTCAAAGTTGTTTGACATTTTGGTAAATACTCTTATTTGTATTATATGAGGTGGTTGATACCACCATTATGCTGTATCAGTTCATTAAATATGAAGCTACAAGCAGTAGTGGTTAGCTTAGATAAGCAGAAAGATTGGAAACATGGTAGCCTGCTTCTGTCCAGTGTTTACAAAATCTGCCTATCGTCACCTCTAGAGCTCATTAACTAAAATCCTATATTTTATTTGTTTAAACTGTACCAAAACTAAAATGTAAAAATTACAAGTTGTGGTTTCAGAGGTGCTGGTAGATGAATTCTGTTACCTTTAAGGCATATTCACGTTGCAGTGGTAAAGCAAGGTTCTTGTGCTGCCACACAGGTCCAGCAGTAGCATATCTATCTGCAGACTGAAAGACATGGGCTAAACGTTTAGGGGAGTAATGTGATGTATCCAGTTGTGCCCCTAACCCTTCCCCTACTGTAAGTTATACCCCTACTAGACATGCCTCACGCCCACCTGTGGGTGTAGACAGACATGGTGGTAGCTGGGAGAGTCTTTAGGGGCGTAATTTGATGCATCATGTTCCGCTCCTCTTGCAGTTCATACACATACCCTTCTCTGCAGGTGGGTGCAGTATTTACCCTTCCAAAACAGCAGGTCCTTACCTACATAATATGTATTATATAATACTATTAAGCACATTGAAACAGCAGCATGTCTAAAACTAAATAAATAACCCATACCTCTGTTTGTTATGTGCCAGACTATTTCCAGGCCTGGCACAGTTTCTCTAGTAAATCACACCTTCTCTAGGTGAATATATTTAAAGTATTTCCCAAAATGTCAAACTATTCCTTTAAAATCACCAACTCCAAAGCTAAAATGTCATCTCAATCAAAAATAACAACTTTATTTTTCAAACCTGATACGACTGTTTCACTGTCATGATGTTTGTGATGGTTTTGGTCTCTAGCAGAGGACTCTGGTGCTGCCTGCTGATCCAGGTAGGTGGAGTACCGGGACGGAGTTTCCTCTGAGTTTTGCTGACACTGCCTCTTCAGAAATATTCCACTGAGCCTCATGAGGTTACATGTCTTTTACAATTGGGTCATGGGTTTGGTTATGGCTTGCTATGTAACCACACCCTCTGCTGTTCATTTGTAGAGTGCACCATCAAGCGGTGAGAGGAAACTTCCCTCGGCAGAGATCAACTATGTTTGACCTGCAACCAGTTAACAACACAAAGCTTGCCATTTTGCTCTTTTTCTAAATCTTGCGTAACATGTTTCAAAGGGCTGTCTATAACAATCAGACTTGTTGAGTAAAAGACTGCACTCAGAAACTGATTTCATTTGGTGGCATAGATGTTTGTAACTAGTCTCTAGCACCATATGAAATCAGTGTTCTGGGACGTGGACTATCAGCATGTACAGACTCCGTACATGAATAACCTGAAATACAAGATGTTCTTGTGATGCCTCAAATGTAGGTCACATTTGTATAAATTACTGTGTTCTCCTGCTTCATTCACTAACTGGTCACAGCTGCCATGCTGCTTCTCATTATATTTTTCCCTGTCTGTCTCTCCCATTTGACTCAATTATGAATTATTCATGAATCCACCTTTATTCATTTATAAATTCTGTTTCCATTACCTGTGTACTTTGATACACTTTGGTTGTTTAACTGATATTTTTTTCTCAACTGTGGCCACAACTGAAAACAGATTCAGACAATTGAGATCATGGTAAACAATAATAGAAAGCAGAGAAGTCAGAGTCAGAAATGTCTTTTGCACAACAATATCTATCCAAAGTTTGCTATTATTAGCTCCCCTTAGCCGCAGTAAGCTACCGGCCATACCACACCAGGCAAGGATGTAGCAGCAAAGCTGATGCTGTGTTGTATTGCCTATGAAATTAACTTTTCATTTGTAAGTGCAAGAACATATTTCTTTTTTCAGAAGTTATCTTTAAGGGCCCACTCTAAAGTTACCATTCATCCTATTGCAGGGTTTTTCTCAACTAAATGTGAAAAGTACTATTTAAATTTTTTTAAAGAAGTGAGTATATACAGGTTACAGTTTTTTATGTATTTGCTACAGTTGCATTTTGTTATCATAATAAATCTTTTCAGTGCAGCTATTTACGTGTCCTTGGCCTCCTTATGCACTTGCATGTTGTCACCTGGAGATAACTGCTTTTTCTACTGAGCACCAGATGCAATCAATTTGAATGGTTTGGGATGTAATTCTGTTGTAATCCATTTAACCTCACTTGCTGAAAATGAAACTGCCTCCCAAAGGTAAATATGTTCAATGGTAATAAAAGAAAAGTCTTGTCACCTGTTTGAGCAAATAAATAATTAAATAATTTTAAGTGGAGATGAAAGCTCCAGAAGAGCATCTGTGGACTGTATCCTAACACTGCTTTCTTTGTCAAATATCGTTTCCAAGTTTAAGAATAAAATTTCAGTCTCAACCTTTTTTCCGATATGGACAAGAAGTGTTCACAAAAAATGGAAATTTCAACATATAGAGTTCCAAGACAACTGAAAACATTTGCTGGGGCAGATACAATGAAAGCTCCAAAACTGCTACTAAATGTACCTTGTGGTGATGTTTAATCCAGTACATTCCATGTGTTTGTAGGATTGTTTTTATTTCAAACAACTATAAACTCACAATTATCCAGATATTATGTTTGAATGTAGGCCACAGGTGAAAAGGTATAGTACATGCCTTCTTATCCATTTCAAAATGCCCTCTCCACTCTGACTTTACTGCAGCAGTGGTGTCAGGCTTCATTTTTCATGACACCAATGAGTTGACTAAATTGATATTAAACAAAATAGAACAAAAGGCCCTACTGAGGTTACAATGTGCCTTTTAACAGCAGAGCTGTGGGGTCAAAGAAGTTTATCATGTCCTGTTTGACTAATGTCGGATCGTCCTAGAGGGAACGAACAAACAGATCTAGTATGCCTATAAAATCTCATTCTGATCCTTATGTGGAGGTTTAAGAAAAAGATGGTTTATTGCGTAGCGTAAATATTCCATTAAGATTATTTGTTACACATAAAGTGTCCAAAGTTTGATGAGAAGCAAAGAAATTTGACAGAATCTCACATATTTTTTTCCATGCATTGGTTTCACTGAACTGAATTTTTTTTAAATGTTGTGGAGTATATATCAAATTCAGTAAACAGAAGATGAAAAAATACACAGGCATTCTGATGCAATATTGATATGATAATATTCCTTTTATTAATACTCACATCTGTGTGTTTGAGTGCAAACAATTCAAAGGAGACATTTTTCTCACTTTATTTCTACACTGTGGCTCACCAACCATGACAGTTAATGCATAAAAGTGTATCTGGGGCAAAAATATGATGTTGGTATCCCCTGACAGCTCTCAATAATAATAAATATATATATTTAAGATGTGACAATGAAATAAGTAAATGCACTCCTGCAAAAACTAATATAGAAATAATCGTAACAAAAATAAATCTATATGAATGTGCAACTTAAATTTGTTTCCATTAATCCTCAGTGGTTAGAAACATGAAGATATTCAAGGTCCTTTCAAAAAGTCTGATTGGCTCCTCCCACCTCATGATGTGTTAGCAGCGGATCTCTGAACCCTCTCCTGATTGGTCCATTTCCAAGACTACCGCCATATTCAAAGTTCCGCAGCGGTGTGTGTTGTTATCGATCTCCTATTTCTTTGTACACATCAGACTATTTTTTTTCATATGTATGGACTTAACTTAGCTCGCTTAGCAATAGCTTCATTTCCAGTGTAACTGATTTCAAAACAAAGCCTCCCACAAAATGGAAGAAAATGAAGAAGTTAGTGGAAGAACGGTGGAAAACAAAACGCAGAAACTTCGCAGGATGTCATCGAGGACGTGCACCGCCAGTGTCATTACCGCTGCAGAGCCCTCTCCACAAACACTCCGAAGGAACAAATCCAAAAAGTACGTAACCACGTGTTAAAATATGGAACTTATTTAATTACTAGGTCTCTCATAATATAACCTGATTATAGCACCTTCTTTATCACGAGCTAGTTACCCGAGTTAGCCAACTGCGACGGCTAGGGCTGGTATTCTAACTGGCAAACGGTGCCTTCATGTGCACCTCGGAAGCCATAACTTCGGATATTGTGACCATGAACTGCCTTGGATTAAACTGTATGTGGTCTGTGAGATTAGTATCACCATCAATTAATCTACAGAGTATTTCCTGGATTCATTGATTTGTTGTTTTCATTGATTATTTGTTTTGTTTATGTATTGTCCAAGAGTAATGAAAAATTCAGTGACGTCTTTAAATGTCTTCTTTGTATGACAAGCATCTCTAAGCACAAAGATATTCTATGGCAAAGAAGCACCGAGAAGCTGGACCCGCAGATATTTGACATATATATTCCAGCCACTAATAAGTTAATTAACTAATCATTTCACCTCTACTCAATATTTTTTAAGCTGGAACCAGTAAATGGTTGGCATTTTTGCTTGAGCAATAATCAAACTTAAGATCAAATGTTCTGCTGATCAGCTGACTTCTAGAGTCAATGCTAATGTGAGTTAGAGGCAGCATTCTAGTAGCATGTTGACTGTTTTTCTGCTGCTTTCAGGTATTTATTTAATTTTACTCTTTCAGCTCATCTTTCAGCATTTCAGTGTTCATTCCTCTAATACAATATTCCTCCATCACAATATGTGACATATTTTCAACATAACTGGAACAGAAATGGCATTTACAAAGGCATCCATTATATTAAAGCAGCTCTAAAGCAGTATCTATAAAAGCAATGATTCTCTGACTTCTCCTGGATACATTTGATAAACCATTATAATAACTTGGTTACCTAGAGTAACACAAGCTGTTTAAATTCAGGTGAAGTTTGGTCATGTAACTTGAACTTGTTTGTGGTGTGTTTCTGCTGCTAGTGTGTGCACATTTAATTACATTCTGTTCCTCTTTATCAATACAATATAAAGAAACTGCACGGAGCACTAAGGAGAATCTGAACAAAATTTAACTAGACATGCAAGTTTAAAAAAAGCCAAGCTGTATGAAGTACACAGTATAAAGTGTGTTTTTACTGTGCATAAAGGTTACTTGTTTGTCTTGTTTGCTGTAGACCTCCACTGCAGAGAGTCAGCTCCTTCACCTTTCTCACTCCAGGGACTCCATGGGACTTCAGTCTAGTGAGTTAATGTGACTTATTCTTCCACGTTTTGTACTCATACTATCTCTGATATTTGGAATTGTGTTTTGTTGTGTGTAGGAATATTTTGGGCTGTGATCATTTGTATCAGAGATATTGCTGCCAATGTGTTGTTTTAATACTGATTGGAGTTTTGAATATAAAAAATGCATGTTATGTTTCTACAGAAGAGAAAGCGCAGAGATCAGGAGGAGGATACAGTTAGTCTGTCCAGTTTTGACATCAAGGTAAGAGTCAGGACAGGCTCTGGTCTGTCTGTTGGGTGCAAGTATAGTCCAGCACCCTTGAATGTGTCCTCAGAGCAAACTTTAATTCCACTGCATGACTCAGACATTAACCGCAGCCAGCCTTGAGCGCTCTCAAGTGTTATGAGCTGGGTTAATCCCACCCTCCCCTAGACTGGCACAACCAAAGTTTGGCTGAGGAAATAATAATAAAGAAAATCTAGGCCTCATTGTGCACTTGCATTATCTGTCTCTTGACTATAATGGTTACAAATTCAGTGTTCAGTTCAGCACATTAAAGTGGCTTCATATGGTTTATATTTGTTTTCAACAGGTGTTGAATACCAGTTAAATATCATGTTATTGTATGTCCTTTTCACAGTGCGTAATTGAGAGCCTTGTACTAAACAATACAATTTATTTCAAGTATTCAGTCTACACATCAATAGAGTCGAGTGGAACTGAAGATTGTTTCTTTTGGTGATTACCAGGAACCCAGTAACAAGCGTGTACGACCACTGGCCAAAGTTTCATCCCTTGTCAACTTGATATCTCCTTCAAAGAATGGAGCTGTGCGGCGCTTCGGCCAGACCATACAGGTAACATATATGCCGTCCTTTGCCATGACAATGACTCCACAAACAATCACTGAACTTTGTCTTTGCTTAAAACTTTGTTCCCTAGTCAATGTCATTACTTGGTGAAACCAAGTCACCAGGAATGTCCCTCAAAGCCAGCAGCAAGACAGCAGGTCCCACTCCCACTAAACGCAGAAACAGCACACTGTGGTCAGAGACACTGGATATCCATCAAAAGAGCACATTCTCCACCAAAGAGATTAAGAGACAAGAGGTTGTGTAGTTCACTCTGGAGTACAGTCCTCTTACAAGCACAGAAAGCACTAAACTAATTTGTTGTACTATGGTTTTTAACATTTCTTCTCCAGGCAATTTATGAGCTTTACAGGGGAGAGCAGGATCTTATTGAAGATCTTCAACTTGCACGAAAGGTTGGAAAACTTGCATTTAAAATTAAATAAGTGAAAACATTTACCTTCCCATTGTGGACATATTTGTGCTCTCAATGCTTTTTGCTTGCCTTCAGGCATACCATGATCCCATGCTAAAGCTGTCCATCATGACAGAGGAGGAACTAGCTCACATATTTGGGGACTTGGATGCATACATCCCCTTACATGAGGGTAAACTATTATAACGCATTCCTAGATTTAAACTATTCTGAATGTCACCTGTTTGTGTTTGCTTTGCTTATGTGCATTTCTGTTTGTGTTTTAATCTGCAGACCTGTTGATGAAACTAACAAAGGGAACTGGCCCCAATGGAACAGTGGCTCAGATCGGGCAGATAGTAATAGACTGGGTATATCTGGAAGGAAGTTAACACATTCTGAGAATATACTAGGAGAACGCTTACATTATGCAAGGTTTCTACAGGGTCGTTTAAACACAATGCAGTTAGTCAATAATACACAATTAAATGTGCCAAGGAATGTTTACCCATTATTTGGCCCCAAAGACGGGGGTGTCGGGCCACGTCATCAAAAATCTCCAGAGCCCCACAATAAGCAACACCATTTTCCAGACCTAACCTACCCTTAAGAATCAGACAAACTGAAATAATGGAAAGCTAGTAGGGACAGTACAGCTTACAATTTTGTATTATATTAATTTTTATCACTTAATTTAATTAAGCACGGAAACACTGCAGAAAAGTTAAACCAGTTAAAATTGAGTTATTCTGTGTATGTGCTAAAATTGGCATTTTCCCATTATGACTCATTGATCATTATATATTTATATTTCTTTAGCTGCCTGGTCTGAATGCTTACAAAAACTACTGCAGCAACCAGCTTGCAGCCAAAGCCCTGCTGGACCAGAAGAAGCAGGACAGGCGGGTCCAGGACTTCCTGCAGCGCTGTCTGGAGTCCCCTTTCAGCAGAAAACTGGACCTCTGGAGCTTCCTGGACATCCCACGTTCACGCTTGGTGAAATACCCGCTGCTGCTGCGAGAGATCCTTAGACACACTCCTCCTGATCACCCAGATGTAGTCAGCCTGGAAAAAGCTGTATGATCTCTACTTTATACACATCTTTGCAATCACAGACAAGAGTGTGGAATATATGTAGCTTTTGAATAAGAAAAAATAACTTGGCTGTTAAATTTGTTACTTAGTCTTTTTACCACAACCAAAGTCTTTCTTTATTTTTCCAGATCACTATAATCCAGGAGATCCTGTCTGAAATCAATTTGAGGAAAGGAGAATCTGAATGCAAGTACTATATAAACAAACTGGAGTACTTGGATGAAAAGCAGCGGGACCCTCTCATAGACAACTGTAAGGCCCTACTTTGTCACGGTGAACTGCGGAACAAGAGTGGCTTGGTGAGAATTACAATTACTGTTTTTATTGGCATCTATACGCTATAAAATTATTTTCTACATGCTTTTGGTCATGTAAGTACATTTCATTGTCTGTTAATGTGCATCTGCACAGAGGCTGCACGTGTTCCTCTTCTCTGAACTGCTGGTTCTGACCCGACAAGTGACACGCAATGACAGGAACTGCTTCCAGGTGTATCGACAGCCCATCCCAGTCTGGGACTTGGCTGTAGAAGACGTGCAGGATGGAGAAGTCCGTGTAGGGGGGTCATTCAGAGGGGCTTTTACCACTGGAGAGAAAGGTGGGTTGAACTGTGTTGCACTCCACCTTCTGGCTCTGTGTTTGTAAGATTTGTACAGACAGGCCTAAACCTAGGTAATCAAACTTCACAGAAAAGTCAATACGTGGCATGTTTACTCTTGTTACTGCACCTGAGCAACTATTTTTCACATGCTTGTACTTTTTGGAAGACATCTTTGTGCTTTACTGTACTGTACTTGATAATTTTTACTGACATTGTGTACTTAGGGTGGCATCATGATGCAGTGGTTAGTGCCGTCGCCTCACAGTCAGGAAGGTTCTGGGTTCCAGTCTGTCCGTAGGAGTGAATGTGGTTGTCTGTCTCTGTCAGTCCTGTGATAGAATGACCTGTCCAGGGTGTACCCTGCCTCTCACACAATGGCGCCCCAGGATAAAAGGCATAGATAATAGATGAATGAATGGATTGTGTACTTACCTACATGTCCACAGTTCATCAACAAAGAAAGGAATTTTGGCTTTGCTTAATTTGTGATCCGTATTTTGTGTCTTTTTTTACTTTTAAAACAAGTTTGCTCTCGTTATGGCACCCACTCAAACATTGTTCTTAACATATAGATTAATTTTTTATTCAGAATACCTTTAATTCAGTTAGTGTCCCCCAGAATAGCTTCATGAACTAACATCTCCAATTAATTTTCAACTGTTAAGGGCAAAGTGAGAGTGAAAACAAACTCGGGTAGTATTCCTTCCTCCTCTCCTCTTTGCCCCTCCTGGCTTGTCTCTGAAATGACATCATATGTGTTCACGACAGCCGGAGACATTTATGGCAGTCAGGTAGTGCAGCAGTAAGAACCGGCTCCAGAGCTAATGTACAGTATTGTTCAAAATAATAGCAGTACAATGTGACTAACCAGAATAATCCAGGTTTTTAGTATATTTTTTATTGCTACATGGCAAACAAGTTACCAGTAGGTGCAGTAGATTCTCAGAAAGCAAACAAGACCCAGCATTCATGATATGCACGCTCTTAAGGCTGTGAAATTGGGCAATTAGTTGAAAGGGGTGTGTTCAAAAAAATAGCAGTGTCTGCCGTTGACTGTACAAACACAAAACTATGTTGTACAAACGTTTTTGTTTCTAGGATTTAGCAATCCTGTGAATCACTAAACTAATATTTAGTTGTATGACCACAGTTTTTTATAACTGCTTCACATCTGTGTGGCATGGAGTCAACCAACTTGTGGCACCTTTCAGCTGTTATTACACTCCATGATTCTTTAACAACATTCCACAATTCATTTACATTTCTTGGTTTTGCTTCAGAAACAGCATTTTTGATATCACCCCACAAGTTCTCGATTGGATTAAGGTCCGGGGATTGGGCTGGCCACTCCATAACATTAATTTTGTTGGTTTGGAACCAACACTTTGCTCGTTTACTAGTGTGTTTGGGGTCATTGTCTTGTTGAAACAACCATTTCAAGGGCATGTCCTCTTCAGCATAAGGCAACATGACCTCTTCAAGTATTTTGACATATGCAAACTGATCCATGATCCCTGGTATGCGATAAATAGGCCCAACACCATAGTAGGAGAAACATGCCCATATCATGATGCTTGCACCACCATGCTTCACTGTCTTCACTGTGTACTGTGGCTTGAATTCAGAGTTTGGGGGTCATCTCACAAACTGTCTGTGGCCCTTGGACCCAAAAAGAACAATTTTACTCTCATCAGTCCACAAAATGTTCCTCCATTTCTCTTTAGGCCAGTTGATGTGTTCTTTGGCAAATTGTAACCTCTTCTGCACATGCCTTTTTTTTTAATCCAATCGAGAACTTGTGGGGTGATATCAAAAATGCTGTTTCTGAAGCAAAACCAAGAAATGTAAATGAATTGTGGAATGTTGTTAAAGAATCATGGAGTGTAATAACAGCTGAAAGGTGCCACAAGTTGGTTGACTCCATGCCACACAGATGTGAAGCAGTTATAAAAAACTGTGGTCATACAACTAAATATTAGTTTAGTGATTCACAGGATTGCTAAATCCTAGAAACAAAAACGTTTGTACAACATAGTTTTGTGTTTGTACAGTCAACGGCAGACACTGCTATTTTTTTGAACACACCCTTTTTAACTAATTGCCCAATTGCACAGCCTTAAGAGCGTGCATATCATGAATGCTGGGTCTTGTTTGCTTTCTGAGAATCTACTGCACCTACTGGTAACTTGTTTGCCATGTAGCAATAAAAAATATACTAAAAACCTGGATTATTCTGGTTAGTCACATTGTACTGCTATTATTTTGAACAATACTGTATACGGAATACAGAGCCTGTGGCTTTGGTGGTGTAAATTTAACTTAATGTGCTGACAAGTGGTTTTAAGAAATGGAGTCATCCAATTAAAAACTGTACATGTATATAGTTTATTAAATACACAGCATTTTACACTAGCTTTAAGCACTACAGTTAAATGTTGGAATGCTTTCAAATATCCTGTCATTAATAGTTTTTAATCAACTTCATGCAAGGTGCAGTAAACAGGAAAAAACTAAAGTGCCTACAGCCTTTTCATAGTACTTTATATGCTTTGTAAATTAGGGAAATACAGTATATTTATGGGGTGTGTGGACCACAGGTCATAATCTTGAAGTTACTTAAAGAACTTTTTTAAAGGAAGCATCTTTAAAACTAGATTAAAGTAGACTTTTTGAGTGTTTTTGTTTCTCTGTCCCTCTAGCTAAGAATGTGTTCCGTGTGAGCTCTATGGATCCATCCCATGGCCAGTCCCACACCCTGTATGTCAACGATGTCTACCACAAGCAGCAGTGGCTAAACTGTCTACGCACTGCACTGGCTCAGCAACAGGGGCCTCCACCGACACTTCAGCAGGGAGAGGCCATCAGAGCCAAACTCCCCTCTTCCACCATCTGTAAAGAAGATACAGATGAAAACTGTCCACCTGCCTCTGGCCCTACACTTCGGCGTCAGACACTCTCTAAAACCAGACTGGACCGGAAGTTACAACGCTGTATAAAGAGGAAGGAGACGGGAGTATAGACATGTAGCCGGACCTCTCAGCCAGGCACATAACACGTGTCCTCTTTCACAGTGAATTTTAATATTCCCTATGTGTTTTAGCTTTGTCTCTGTAACTGTACGGAAGTCTTCCGAATCATTTCCGTACAAATTTTAGTCTTTAAAAAGTAAAATTAGTTTACAAAAAGTGATGTGTGACTGAAATGTATGCTTACACCAGCTAAATGTATGTCAAACTGGGGTTTCTGTGTATAAAACTGTTTTATACTACCTGTAGCTCTTTTGTTTCTTGGTTATTTTGTGTCAGCACATTTAACCGTATGTATTTTGCTGTAATCAAAATGTCATTGCTTCTATATTATAGGCAGTGTGCAGTTTAAATGTTTTCTCTGTTAGGAGGGGGTGAAGCTGAGAAATGGTGAGAGCCTCAACTGTGTGTACAGGAAGCAGTGGGGTGAGAGGAAGCTAAACATGTTTGAGAAAGAGTTAAGATAATGATCACCAATACCATAAGGTAACATTTGAGGGGAAAAAAGGGTCACATTTATCTAGATGTACTTTACTGGAATTTCTTAATCAGAAAAAAATAAAACATTTAGTTTGTACTTTAAGAGTTCTGAGTATGATTGACTGTGAACTTGTTACAACACTGTCATCCCACTTGTACTTTGTTGCCTTAGTCATTTCCCTTTACTGCTGACACATCTGTTCAAATGTGTTGCAACACTAAAAGAAACAGAAGCACAGAATAAACTAAACTCCTGTCCACCAAGTGTGTCTAAAAATGACGTACCCATAATGTAGTTTTGCACATTTTGCAACTCAAAATTAAGCTGCTGTTAAGGCAGTAAGTTGTTACAGTGTCTTTAAAAAGTAACCATTAATTCTTTCCAGTTATAACTGGAATTGCTGTAGTTCTTATCAAATCCTGATGAACCCTTTGTGAGACGTGATCTGCTCGCCAGTCAAGCTTGGATTTTGTCTGAAAGATGAAGGTATGAAAGTAGAAGCTACAAAAAAAAATAAATTGCATTAACTTGATTTTACATTTGTGCGTAGCTGATTTTACATGTTGGGAAACCTTAGCTAAACATTTGTCATGACTCTGGACTTTGTACTCACTGCAACGTTGATGATTAGCCATTTCTGGTGTGTGACGGTGATATGCCCCTGAAAAGAAAAGGAGATGCACATTATTATACTTGTTTATATAAAAACAAAGTGTCTGTAGTTTTATTATAAAACCAAGGCCCATTAAAAAAAATAAAATAAATAAATAAAAATGTAAAACTGCAAAAAGTTCAAGTTCATTCTTGTCTGTAAGACAATATAAGAAAGAGGTGCCAATATCATAATTTCCTCCTTTGTACAATGGAACATTTGATTTGAGGTTTGAGTGGTTTGACTCACCTGAAACACAAGACTAACTCGGGCACATGTCGTTAATCCGTCTATGCAAAGCAGTTAGAAACTCCCTGCCTATTATCCTACAGTGGACTGACTAAAGTCTGGACTGAATGATCAACAGTCAATCTAGTTTTGACAATTGCAGCCATGTGAAGCAATATTTGCCCAAAAGGAACTTAAAAAAAATAAATAGATCACTTCTGAAGCTTTAAAAGACAACAGTGAAAGTGATAGTTTTGATCTATATATTTACACAAATGTAAGAGATACAACCATCTGTATTATTTACATTAAAATAAATAGTATATACACATATATAGAACAAATACATACAACAATACTATCCTATGCAAACTACGTCACATTCCCTTAAAGATCAACGAAGTATTACCGGAGTTATAATCACACTTGGTGGGGAAACTAAGTCTTATGTGTTATGTATTTTAAAATGACTTAAGCAATACTTTTAATGCTCATTAAGTGAAAAAGCCAATTACAGAATTCTTAGGGCAACAGTCTGACTAATCTAATGAAAAACATTTCCCTTCCCTTTCCTCTACTAGTCTGGTCATGTTTACACACTTTATCTGTACTGTACTGTACTTCTGCCAGTGTCAACATCCTGTCACATGACTTTGCAGAGAGAGACCACAGATCCAGAAGGTGTAACAGGTTTAGATTTAACCATCTAAGAGGAGCGTCTTAAATTTTCTTAAAATTTCTCATATGTGATTAAACTTCAATAATTGGAGGTGGCATGTAAAAAAGAAAAGTTATGATGCGATTGGGCAAGCCCAGTTTGGAAACAACTTCATGTGCCCTTGTGCCGAGAACCCTCCTCACAGCCACTCTGCTGATCTGCTGCAGACTGAGGGGTGTATCTAAGAGAGAAAAACAGAGGCTATATTTTAGTGTTGCCCTATATAATGCCATGACAGGATGCATACTTTATATAAGCACACTTACTTTCATAGAACTCAAGACAAAGATAAGGGGGAGAGCCCAGACTCGTGTAGTGGATGGGTTTTTTGTTCAGGTTATCCCTGGCGTACACATTTCCTCCAAACTCCACAAGTAGCTCAATCAAGCCAACGCTATTTGTTTTGGCTGCATGATGAAGGGCGGTCTCATGTAGTTTGGCAGCATTCACATTTGCCCCTTGGGAAAAGAAAGATAAACCTGTATAAGTGACAGAAAAGCTTTGTTGTCTGCAATGTCAAATCACTGGTGTGGCAACCAATGCTTAACCAAATTGAACTGCTTTTTGGTTGTGGGCAAGGTTGACGCAAAGGGATAGTTTCCTCTGTGTAACTTAAGTTCGACTTATGGTTCTGTGTCTAATCCATGTAGAAGTATGGCGTAGATTCAAAGCAGAACCATAAATTAAGAGTTAGTTGACTGTGTCAACCACAACAAGTGTGCTACATTGTTTATGGCGTATCACTCCTCTAACCTAAACAATTACCAATTCTAAAGCTAAGGTGCACATAGTTACTGTATATAGTTCCCTACCTACACACAAATGTGGATCTTTTAAATGTATTAATATATATAATTACCATAAAGCAACAACACTAATCTTTACACAAATACATTTCATATTACTGTAATAGTTAATCTTTTAGGGTGATATGCTGGTTGCTATATCTTAAATGTTGTGACATTTGATTTTACTCAGCATTGATGTGCAGAACACAAACACAGACTGACCTGCATTGAGGAGAGCTTTGGCACAGTCATAGTGCTGCCTGGCACAGGCTACATGAAGCGGGGTCCCATAGTGGCAGTCATGGGCCTCCATGAAAGCTCCTTGATCAATCATGAGCTGAACACATTGCAAGTTACCTATTGTGAAAGACCACAAAATCATGTCTGTTTAGAACAAAATGAAATGTTCTGCAGCACAAAGACTTTCCAAGGCTGTAAAATGTCTTGTACTTTTGTTCTTCACAGAGCACCGACACTGCTGTTCAACTTGAACAGATTTTGGCTTAAGGCTCACGTCAAAGCCATTTCCATTTCAGATCTCATATCAACATTACAATCTTCCAAGTCTTCCAGTTCAAGTGCCTTAACAAGCATAATCAGTAGCTACACTTTTGTCCTATAGTCTTAGGGATAAGGCTTTTAAAAGTATTAATCAAAAGCTAAATAGCCAAGTGCTGTGGAGCACAGGGGCCCATCTCAACTCCTGCCCCTCCTGTCTTTTAAATCCCCATATCAAGAAGAAATCTTGACATTGAGAATTTTTCATGTTTTCAAACTGGTTATTCAAAGGGAAAATTTGGAACTTTACACAACTAAGGCCTGTCTGGATGACTCATTTGCTCACTAACATGGTACACCCCAATCTGGCAGTGCAAGACTGCTGACGCAAAGACATTTTGATGGGCAGACACATGGCTCAAAATATATTCCTGTGCAATACTGTATGTAACAAGCCTCCTCCATCTCTCACCTCCCATGCATGCCTCATGAAGAGGTGAGAAGGTAAACAGTGGAGGATTAACTGCTGCTCCATACTGCAACAGAAGCTTGACACATTCCAGGCTCCCAGCTGCACAAGCGTCACACAGAGGAGTGCTACCATCAATGTTACGAGCATCTACCTGTTGGACACAGAGTCATAATAAAGTCACACATGCTCCAGTCAATCCTGCAGTGATGAATAAAACCATAAACTTGGCTTGATTTTCTGGTGAAATGTTTATGTTGAATCAATTTTAGCAAGTGTGAGCCAGTGGCACCATCTCACCTGTGCACCAGCCTTCAGCAGCAGTCTAACACATTGGGTCTGTCCCTGGATACATGCCTCATGCAGAGGGGTGATGGAGTCCACAGCCACAGTGTTAACTGCTGCACCTCCCTCAATCAGCTGCTGCAGCTGGAGGGCTCTGCCCTGTGCAGCAGCCTCATGCACTGCTGACCGCTCGGTCCAGAATCCAAGACCGTGAGCTGCAAATGTGAGAACCAAAACAAACCTGAGCATTTTTATTGATTAAACTTTTCTGGGTGTCTGTGTGTTAATTTATGATTAACAAAATTCTCTGTGCAAATTTACTTTGTCATGCCAATCCAGCAAATACAACTGAAACTGTGAAAACGCTCATCATAACATCCTAGATTTCATCGTTTTTGCAACCATAAAACCAGTTTACTGCTAGCTAACACTGACCTAGTTACATGCTAACTGTTAGCCACTTACCGATTTCTCCATACAAAGACGGTCTGGCCCGAGTGATCTCCATTTCATGTTACCGTTTTCTTCTCCGTAATCGACATAGTCACCCAACGGTGTAATTCATCTTGAAGCAAAAGAATAACGACTGAAAGGCCCGCATTTCTACAAAACACGCGGAACAACCGGGTGGCAAGAGCTCAAGTACATCTGCTGAGGTGCGTGGAATTCTGGGATTTGTAGGTAACCGGCGTACAAAACGAGAACAACTGATAACAGTCATCTTAAATAATTCACTGGTTAAAAAACAGGACACTAAAAATACTAAAACAATGCAAAAAATAATAATACGAGTTTTGTAATGTATATATTTGTTGACATACTTGTGCATTTGTCATGAGTTCCCAGTTGCCATGAAAGTGAAACGACTGTATAGCCTAAAAAAATGGACGATGTCTAACACGTCCCCCTAAATCCTCGGATATCGTGAATGTGGCGACTGCCATCTTGCCAGTTTATATCTAGATTCTGCACAGTAGTGACGAAAAGTGGAGTGACTGCATCAGACCGCCAATCAAAGTTCTACCCCTTTTTATATAATCAAATAACTTTATAAAACAAACTTACTAGAAAAATTACCACCTGTAAACAAACCAGCGTGATATTATCCATTAAAAACAACGAAAATCACCTCTGGGAATACTTTATTTGATTTGTGCTTTTAGTTCACGCGGGATTTATCATCTATACTGTAACCAGCCACTGGGCGCATCTCCTCGTTGTACCTTCACTTCTGAGAGCTGTACTTGTCATGCAGTCTGGATAAATCAGAGTTTTGCTAGCTAGCTAGCTAGCTACATAAATGACATTAAGGCTTTATGCTAGCTAACAAATTAATCCCTTACAAAAAATTTAAATCAATATGATACAAAACTGCATAGATGTTTATGAGTGTGCAGGTAAGAACAATTTTTTATTTGACGAAGGCCTGTCAGAGTTAGTGAATAAAAACTATAGGCTAATGTAGGTTCAGTGTTCACTGCTTTTTTTGTTGGAATTTATGATTTGTGCAGATGGCTTAAGGGAACCACCTAACTTTTACCTGTTGTTTTTAGCCATTATTGATCCAGAGTAATGATCTAATGTATGAAGTATTATTCATTTAAGATAGTTCATCTTGTATTTTGGATATTATGTCTTTTGTGCTGTTTTGGGTGCTTTTCTTTGTGTCACTTTCATATCCACATAACTGTAAATACACAAAGACATTAACTACAGTAGCTCACAGCTGTGCAGAAACTCTTGCAACTGTGTTTGCTGCTTTCTACAGTATGGTACACTGAAAATTATGGTATAACACTAACACCGGCAGCAGGAGTTGTGTGTGCTCACAAACTATCCTCTCATTTTTAGGAATGTGCTTTTTGGTTTTATTATTCTGGAAAAAAAAAAACCATGTAGACTATTTTGAGTTATGAGGAGTGCCAAGATAATCTAGAGGTACCCAAGATTAAACATTAAATAGCTGGAAATAAGCATGCCATTGGGGACTTTAAATTGGCCAAGCTTCAATTGTTACTTCCATGCTGCATCTAAATATGTTTTGTATAGCCTGAGATGACCCAATTACTCTTGGAGTTCTCGGTAAAGCATAGGCCTAATGCTTGTAAGGTAATGGATGTAGTTGACCAACTCTGAGCTGAATTTCAGACTAATTCAGAGCCATAATTCTGTGCAAGCGGAACAACTCATTAACTCCAAAAACTCACTACATTGAAAGAGTACCAACGATGTTTTCAGTCATTAACATATCAGGATTTTGTGCTTTTCTATGGGTATATCTTTAAACATTACCCAAAGTTGATGCTACCACAGTGCTGGCAAAGCTTAAAGTTCAGTGGTTCATTCTTAGTAGTTGGTAAACATACTACGATGCCTGCTGTCAATTGGTAAACCACCAATACCAATTTCCCCTTCGGCGTTGTAACATGAAACTACGCTATACTGTAAACTCACACATTATAAACCCCCAAAACCGGATACACGTTGTATTATGTTAGAGATATACGTTTGGCAGCGCCAGTTCGGTTATGGCAATGAGTCATTAGTTTTTAACGGGGAGAAGGAAAACCGACCTATACACAGGCGCAAAGTAGCCTGGGCAGAGCTTTAATAACTGCTTCCCCACCACAGTTAAGACTTTCAAGATGGATGCTTTCGCCTCGATAGGTTTCTGTTTCTTTTTCCAAAGGGACTACGCATGTGGTTGTTGCACACGCCTGGAAGCACGTTGAAGACTTAACACATTTAAATATTTAAACGGATTTATTTTCTATGAAACGATAAAGTGGATTTAAGTGGATACATTTGGCTTTACGTGTTCGGGCTGTCGGCTGTTTTGTAACTTCCTGGTTGTCGCATTAACATGTCATTTGAAATGCGGCAAAAGCGCAACCGATTTGGACAGAATTTATGGATACAGCGCACACACGGGACTTTATAATTTTATTGTAATGTTTAAAACCAGAGACTGCTGTTTTCCTCGAAGGACAAAGGGAGACGGGCAGATTTCATAAGTGTTCAGCAATGGAAAGTGGAAATGGTGGTGCCTCGAGTAAAGGTGACGAGTTTTCTCTCCATACGTTCACTTTAGGTTCAGCCTAACTAAAGTATTTCTCCACATTATAGGCTACTTGCTATATAGGCATAGACCACAGCTGCTATATGATTAGACAAAAAACGGACCCGCAGATAAGGTATATGCCTCACAGGACAAATTGTCCTAGGGTTACGAAACTTTTTCCTGGTAGCGTTAGAAAGTGAAAACGCAGTTTCGCAATGTACTTGTACTGGCCTATTGTGTTTATGTTGGTATTTTTGCTCACTTTTAGATGTCTTAATACCCGTGGAAGACGGTTCTGATGTCTTTAAAAGCAATATTTTGGCTCCACTTCAAAGTGCGTACTTGTACGAGGAGTCGAAGCAATGTTTCAGATACAAGTCTGCTGTTTTGGTCAAGAATCCAGTACTGGAAGAAAAGGTACTTCTAGTTCCTATTCTACCATTTAAATGTCCTTAAACATTAAGTTACACTGGTTCAACATAAATCAATATAGCATTTAATCAACTGTGCAGTATTTGATGGATATAAATAAATGTTTGGTAAAATATTCCATTCTTTTTGTTCTTGTTTTTGTAATAACCAGGAGAGAAACCTTGGTAGCAAGTGCTTAAGTTTTGGCCACATTATTTAGGCAATGTTGTGAAGTACCATACAATAGGCCCAAAGTTGTCCAGAAAACCTTTACAAAGAATAATAAATGTACAGATACCTCTGTGAAATTGAAATGGCACGACAGACAGCATTTTATGACACATATTTTTTATGTTTTTATCTCTCTCTTACATCAGTATAATGCCTTCCGAGCAAAGAAAAGAGCAGTGGGATATTCGGAGGAGGATCTGACAGAAACTTATGGGTTTTTGCTGTTTGATGGCCTCAATGAGGTACAGACTAGATACACTGCAACCTTTGAGAAAATCCAACATGTCCTTCAGTCTTTTTTGATACTGATATTCTTATATGTTTAAAGGCTCGTCTACTTGGAGAAACTGGTGTGGTCAGTGGAAACAGCACATGCACAACTCTGGGCGATCCCTCGAAGGGTAAATTATTATTTTTTTCCTCCCTCAAACTGCTGCTATGTCAACTAGTGGTGAGCTCACCATGACAGTCTAGTATGTACAGCTCAGCCATTCAGGAAAAGAGGTAACATTTCAATGAAGAAAACACCCATTTCAGGTTTGTATACAACAATTTCTGTAACATATTACTTAAATATACTTACTGGTTACCTTGTAAAATGTGGAAAGAATTAGATTTAGCCTTTACTGTTGATTTGAGGAATTTAACTGGTTACCTTATTATCCATATCCCAGTACTTGTCCATGCGTGCACACTATCCCAAATATCTGTAGTTCTGATCAAGTAACAGAATAGTCCATGTTGAGTGCCCAGTGCTCCTCTGCCTTTGAAAGTGAAAGCAAGTTACAGGGCTCTATGAATTTATACAAATGAAAGTGGAAGGATTTGTTTTATGAAACAGAAACTAAGTTGGTGTACAGCAGTTCAGCATATGTGGAGTGTTGGAGGCAGAAGGCTGGTGTATTCTGTTTTCAGTTTCATATTAAATCTGTTTCGTCTTAACTTCAAGTTTGAAATGTTGTCTCCAAGATTTCCATTGTTAGACATCTACCCACTCTAGTTTGTTCTAAGTGTGGCTGTTATGCAACTTTTGTCTGTGAGCAGTAGGAAATCACACTGGCACGTGAATACAAGTAATCTAGTGTGTCGCATGTAAATGCATACAGCAGTGGAGCATGTAGATAATCTGTTGCACTTTACATACAGTCCTTTTTTCCGTGTTTTATTTCCTATGGAGATTTCCATGGCGCTATATCAGATTTACTGTTATAGATATCATAACACATGAACTCTTACTATGTTTCTTTAAGGATAAACACATTTGGAAAGGGTGTACCTTTTTGGTCATACCTTTCTTTACTTTGAGAGCAGACTGCTTGTGCAAGAGTATAGAAGACCCGCTATACCTGCCAAACTAGTTACTGACTGCTTTTCCTTCCTACATTCAAGTTTTTAAGTTGTTTTCCATGAGTGAGATCCTAACTGAATGTCTCTTTGTGAAGTGTTTTACTAATTTACATTCATATATTCATGTATTTTATTTAATTCTACTTTTTTATACCAGATATTTTTATTATGTATTGTATAACCAGAGGTCTGAAGCCCTAAATAACTTGAGTTTACATTTTTTTTCCAAAATGGGCTCTTACCTCACTTAAGAAAGGACACTACGTTTAAAGACATGTACAGGCCTTTAGTAAGGAAGCAGCACCACACACCCCACATCCTTCAGTCAGCTGATGTCAAAGCCCAAAAGTCCATCTTTCTATGGGTAAAGTTTTAGAAATTAAAGCTATTTTTAAATACTCACCAAGATATAATGGAAGAGGTAAAAGTAGAAATTAAGATTCTAGTGTCATTAGTAGTAGGGTCTTGCAGGGAAGCTACAATTCCTTTTGTGAAATCAATAGATTTTATTGATTTGGCTTGTGGAAACTAAGAATTACAGTAAGTGCTTGATATGAGAGAAGGCCCAGATCTGTGTGAATGAAATAAATATGCATACTTACTTGTAAAATGAGTGGAAAGGACAAATCTGATCACTACTAATCATTTTTATTTAATTTTAGTTATACTGTGGTTTTCAAAACTGACCTGCAGTCCCTCTGAAAAATCTGGATCTACACTGCTTATAGTCTTCACCCCTTTTGAGCATTAAAATTTTTTTATTTTTATTTTTATTTTCTAACGCTTAGTCCCTGAACGGGGTCACGGGGGGGCCAGAGCCAATCCCGGCCGGCAATCGGGTGAAGGCAGGGTACACCCTGGACAGGTCGCCAATCCATCGCAGGGCTTTTAATTTTATGTTAAAATATCTTGGTGGTAAGATTTGATAAATGGCAGGATTCCATTCTATGAAAACATCCTGTTCAGAAAATAGAGTAACACTCCTTTGAGTTCATGTTCAGCCGCAGCGGGCGAAGTTATTCCAGTAGTTGTAAAGTAATAGTAAATGTGTGGTGTGCGGTTGCGACATATTTCATCTTTCAAGGTGTGGGCTGGGTGTGGTTGTCCCACTGTAGGAGTGTCATTTCTTTTGAAAGGCACTTTAAAATTTATGATGTTCTCAAATCTCAACAAGTTGCCCTACCTGTATTTATTCCTACCTGCATACACATTGAGTTTTCTGTGTTTTCTTAGGTGTTTACATATCAGTGTATTCTGACTGTTTGGATCTGAATCGCTGGTATCATGGGAAATCTGGTTACATTGCCATCATTCGATTGACAAAGGTATTGAAATACTTGTATGACATAATATGGTCACTGTGTTTTCATTCAAAGAAAATGTTTATTTCATGAAAAATATTGTTCTTTATTACCAACAGGGCAGGGTTAAAAAAGTTTTAGAGAACTACACCCAGAATTTCACAACACCCACTGGTGGTTTTGACTGTCATGTGTCAGAAGAGTTGCCTTCAGTATCTGCCAAAACCAGCTCCTTTCTTGCCTTTGAGAGAACCCAGGTGAGAAGTGTCACATGACAGAGCATCATGATATCCACAGCAATTTTAATCTGTAGGTGTGATTAGCTTGTTAAGAGATGTAACACTGTGATAAGGGTAATTTTTTGGAAAATTTGAATTGCTTATTTTTCAGTTAATGTAGAATTAAAATGTGCAGAGAATGTAAATGTATAAAAACTGCCACACCATAATGATTTCATGAAATGCCTCTTGTTTTGGTCTTGCAGTATTACATGTACGAGCTACTTGAGGATGGAAGCAATGAAACAGCTGAATCGCCCAGTGCCACCTGCCCTTTTGCTATTGTATCATTTTCATATACAGATACTAAAGCAACACTTGTAGTACCACAAGAGAAAAGGTACTGTATTATTATTATTATTATTATAACACATGCACCGTGCAACAAATTATCTGCCCTGAATATTAGTATGTTCCTAATCTAACAACATTAATATGAGAATTTTTAAGCCATATTGATTAATGGTTTTCCCATTTCTCTTTTCAGTGAGGAGAAAAAATTGGGTAGGTAACGTGCAGCAAACCCAGTGTATTACTGTCAAGAGGAACAGTAATATTGCCTTAAGGTTTATTAATTGGTATTCGAGCCAAAAATATAGGTGTGCGCCATTGTTTGAATATGTGCTCACACCAAATGCAGAACAATCTATTCTTGAAAGAATCATACACAGATAAACATCTAAACTTTTTTGTTGTATAAATATGCTCAAAACCGTGTCTTACTGTGTAGAGGTGCTGATGAAGCCTCCTGTGACCCAGACTCATTGAACATCACTGGCAGCAGTGCAGATATATTAGCTTCTAAACATTTTTGTCTGACCAATCAGATACTTTGAATTATTTCTGTTTGATCAGTAGGTTTTGTTGCATTCTCATTTATTGTAATTTCATAATGACAAATACATATCTGAAGAGCTGGGCAGGGAGTGTCTGAGCATAGCAGATCATAATAGAGCATAATGGAGCAGCGAGAGAGAGTGCTGGGCAGAGTAGAGTGGATTGATTTTTGAGTATATCATTGTATGGACATTATTATTTTGAGATGTTTCTAATATTCCACCTTCCTCATGTTTGTAAAGGGAGTGAGTAAAACATTAATCTCAATATAATGCAGTCCCTTTCAGCACCACTGCAAACTACAATCTCAGTAATACATATATAGTTAAATTATTACCTCTCTGTCAATGTCAGTTACAATTGGCATTATTTGTGAATTTAAAATTTATGGCTGAGATGTGGTATTGGGCTGCATTAGATTTTAAAGAAGTAAATAAGGTGACCACTAACTGTATCTAATTAAAAATTATTGAATGGTTTCTACCAGACATGGATATTTATTTTTTTAACAGTTCTTCTCTTTTTTTTTTTTTTTTTTTTTTTTTTTTTTTTCAGTTTGTCATTTTTTGACCTGGAAGGGTAAGCTCCAACTCGGCAGCCAGTTCTATGATGTTGGGCTGAGGTCTACATCAAAGGCCTTGATCACTGGGAAACTGTAAGCTAATGACACCAAGCGAAAATAGACAGTGTATTTGTTGATGGATCACTTTGATTGTGTAACTTATATTCTGGTGTTTGCCCTTGTTTCTGTTTAAGACCACCAGTGGTGAAAGTTGACCAAGTTATTTCCATGTGTGACCTGAGACAGCTGTTGCCAAGTGCAGTCTTTGAAACCTGTTTCCATGATGAAGGTGCGTTTTTAAGATGTCAGAAGAAAATCTTTGTTAAAAGGTTACATTTTCAAGGAGTGTTTCAACTTGTTTCATGGATTTAAGAAGCATAGCATTAATGATTTTGGACTGTTTTGCTCACTTTCAGTCTTTCTCAATGGCTTATACTGCAGTCTGTGTGAGTTGGTTCCTTCTGAGGCAGAAGAGACCAGTCTGTTCTCTCTGCTTCTGCAGGAGATCAAGGACAAAGATATTGTGAGTTTGTTTATTGTAGGCTTATCAGAGATTGTAAGTCTTAGTAATTCTTCTTTAAAATGCCAAAAATAATGACAAATGCCCATTATGGTTTATCAGACCCCAAAGTGTTTTTTTTTTTTTTTAAATGGTCTGTTCGGTGTGGTTAGCAGATGTTTACAAACTGAGTAATGACATAAAGCTAGTCAATTTTCACAAAAAAACGTATATAAAATAAATAACTTGAATAGTTAATTGATTGTTAAAATTGTCAATTATTTAGTCGATTGACTAGTCAGCTGATCATCTAAAGGTTTCGGCACAGGAGATTTCCTCTGCATTACAGCACTTGGCCTCATTTTTATATCAGTTTGCACTGCATGTCAAAATGTGGTTGAATGATGCATAACATTTAAAAAAAAAACATGCCTGACAAACTCATTTTGCACAGGCTCTCCCTCTTCCACTGAATGATGGTGGTTTTCTTTTTCTGTTGCCTTCCTCCCATTTCCTCACATACGATGGTAAGATATGAAAATGATGACATTTTTGACAAAACTGCAGAATTCTTTAACAATCGTAATTCCACTCTACCTGTACATCTTTGTGTTTTTTTTAAGATACGGGTTCAAATGCAGCTGAGGTCCTGCAAGGCATGTTTGTGTTTCCAGACACACGACTTGTACAGAGAGGTGATTATGTCACCAGTGGATAGTCTCACTTTGTTTCTTGCGTCATTAAATCAATTGACATTTGCCAAGCTGATATCCAAGAAAACAAAAATTAAACAAGTTTTTTTTTCTTTATCACAGACATAAAATGTGAACAGAAAAAGCCTGCCATCTCATTTGAAGTCCTTCAGGTTCTACCATTACTAAGTTACGCAGAGGCTGAAGCAGAGAAAATGCCCATCAACCCAAGTGAAGAACTGTGTGAAGTTTTGGCACAGCATATGCAGAATTATGCAACACTGATAAATCCCAAACTGACATTAAGTCCCTCTAGGGAAGTCAGCATCTTTCCATATCAGTATGATGTGCCAGATGCCCATAAACACCTCTACTCATCCACTGAGTGGACTAACAGGGCATGGCAGAATGTCAGGTCATACCTGAATAAACCAGTCTCTTTTCAGTTGCCAGTGTCCAGTGCTTTAGAAATCCTGGCAACTGGACGAGAGGAGCGAAGTGAAGACCTTGATGAGGATGTCTACATCTGTTTATCATCACCGGAGGAGGCACCAGCCAGTTCTTTTAATACTGAGTCCAAAGACCAGTTGGCAGTTCAAGCATTCCCTGTAAATATTGAGACATCTTTGGACAGCAGGATAAGTGCTGAAGAACAAGTTGATGTAACCACTGAGCCTCAAAATATTGTACCAGTTGATTTGCAAGCTGGACATGCTACCAAAGATGATGAAAAATCTGACCTGACTGTTCTGATTAAAGCTGATGATAAAGGGGCAAAAGATTTTCTGTCTTCCCCTGTATCAGATGATCTTCCAGCAGAACTGATTGTCAGTTTCACTTCAGCAGAGCGAAGTATGACTGATGACAGTGGTGTGGCAACAGCAAAGCATAATGACTTTCATCTTTCTGGTTTTTCATCAGTCAAAGAACAAGCAACAAGTGTGAGCTACCTAAATGATGAGACTGTCAGGGTCACAAATGGAGATTGCCCTGAGGCCACCAATCTCACAAAAATAAAACTGAGGAAACTGTCTAAGGGATCTTCCAAAGGTCAGAAAAGGGCATCTAAAGCTTGCCGTGAGACTCCCAGTTTGCAGTCAGTCAGGATACCAGTGGAGGATGACATCTTTATGAGTCAGAATGATGGCCTGACTAAGGATTCATCAGGTCACTCACAGCTGAGGAAACCTTTGAATATTGATTGGAGGAAATTAAGAAGGCGGAAACGCATATTTGGAAAACTTTCATCAAAACATAAGAAAATGAGATATGCTGCTGTTGGTTTAGCATCAGACCCCAGACAGCAAAGCTCGGAAAGCACAGTTTTAAAGGAACTTGAAGTTGGTCTTCTGAGAAAGAAAACTGAGCGCTGGGACATACAGCCAGTTGTCAGCCAATGTGGAAGAATCTTAGTTCCTCATGGATTTGTGGATGTTACTGATCACATTAAGTCTTTAAAGAATAAGCTTGAATCTACAAAAGATGAACAGTATACTGAAAAAATGTTGGTTGATGCCTCTGTGAATACTCATGACACTGTCAAACTGGAGCAAAAGTACAACACTGCTCCAAAGACAGCAGTGGACGAAACAGAGGTCACAACATCCAAGGATGGAGGGGACCATTTTCAAAACACCGTGGTCAGTTATGATCAGTCATGCCTTTTGAGGCAATCAGGCAATGGCAGTGATTCGTTGCCTTCATATCCAGATAATAGTGAGCATTGTTCAAAGAATGATTGTACAGGCGCTCCTCCCTCAGAAGCAGTTAAAGGAAAACACACTGATACCTTCTCCCAAGGGAAGTGGGCAACAAAGGGTCAATTACTGTTGAGTAAACTAAAATCTGTTCTTTCAAGAGGAAAGAGAAAAACAGATTTACCTCGGCCAGAAGGAATAACTAAAGATGTGGCCCAAGACGCTGAACCTTGTGTCAAGAAAAGTAAAGCTGACTCTGATGCTGAGGCACTGAAGAGTAATAATGCTGCTTCAAGTGTCCAGGACACCAGTGTGGGTGTTAAGGAAGTTTCAAAGATGCTATCACTTGACCCTCTTTTTGCATATGCCCTAGGCCTGACCCCTAAAGAGAAAACTAATGGTCAAGATACTACAGTAAGGAAAGAGTCATCAAGGACAAAAGACCAGATTGTTTTGGACAAACATCCTGAAGTCATTCAAAGGCCTCCATCAATTTTCCCAAAAAGGGGAAGGGGAAGGGGTAGGATTAAAACACTCAAAAACCATCAAGGCATCCCTGCAGAATATATTAAAGAGAAATGTAAGTCGTGTTTCAAAATTCTTGTATGATGTGTAATGCTGCTTCAGCATTGTGCAGAACATTTAAACTGACTGACCTTTTTCTTGGCTCTGTCACTTTTGCAACTATCCTCAGCATGCTGTCACTGTGCTTTGCTACGTTTTTGCAAGTTCTTAGTTTGCCTTTGCTCTTCTTTTGCATTTTTGCCAGTCCTGTCCATCTGCGCCCAAACTTGGTTTGGCAAACCAGTCTCTTCATATGAAATAATCGTATAGGTTACATGTTGGAAACAAGTTCCTAACTTAATACATTAGTATATTTCAGATGCTTTTAATGTGCTACTTTCTATTTTCATGCAATTTCTTTTTTTTTCTCCTGTTTTGTCTTTACAGGGTGGTTGCATTTTCAAACCCCAGCTTGTTTTGCCACTGAAAAACTCAAAGACAAAGAGGGTACTAGGGATAATTCTGTCAGTAAGACTGTTAAGGAACAAATGAACAGTGCTTGCTCATCTACAGATGCTTTGAACTTACTTGCTGACTTGGCACTCAGTGCCAGTAATGACCAGGTTCCACCACAACCAGACCCAGCACTTGAGACAAGTTTGAAGAAGTGTGATCTTACAAAAGCTGTCAGCAGTGCTGAACAAGAGTCAGTTCTTCATTCTCTGCTTAAACAGCCTGCTGCTAGACCCAGCCAAGCTCTTGAGTCTCCTTCACCAAGTCCTCTTGTGGGAAGCAGTGAATTAGTTGGTTTGATATTTAAGGAACATTCTTACTCATTGACCCCATCTTCTTCTCTACTGTTGGATTTACCAGGTACACCATTCCAGGTATTCCCTCTAAGTGGTTCTACCAGACTGCTGTACTATCACCAGCAATTGTATGGGGATGGAATTCAAACGCTACAGCCCTCTGTCTGTCAGGAAGTCAGTGGTAAACGCAATCACAGGACTCCAGAATACCCAGAAAAACATATGGTCCAGAGGCAAAGGTTCGGACACTGTCACACTTTTGTTAAGAAGGATGGCACTGTTCACGTCACAAGGCAATGGAAAGAAAACTATGACTTTAATCTAGACAGCAAGTTTACAAGTGACTCAAAGGACAGAACTATCATCCGAGCCTTGCATGGGTATGTCCATTTTGTTACTTATTCATACAAGGAATCTCAGTATGAAAGTAAATAAAAAATGTTTTTTGCCAGGTTATTTCAATGCTTTACTTGTTTTATCCGTAGTTGACAATGTGGGCCAATATGTAGTAAAGCTGACTTGCCGTTCAGATGACATGAACATCAGTTATTTAACCAAAAGAGCTAATTTTTGTACATTTCACAATTTTGATAGACCATGGGATTTCTCCATTGAAGACACAGATGAAGAGGTGCGGCTGATTGTCCACATGTGGATAGGTCTCTTTTACAGTCGTTCAACAGCCAGGTTCTTTCATGTTGACTCGAACTTTACACATCCATGTTCAGAAGGGAGTGATTCTTTGGAAATGCCCAACGAAGTGAGTTCAACCCCATCTCAGTCTGAGCTCATGGGCAGTTCATTTGCTCCTTTCCCAAGTGTATCAGACTCTTCAAAAGCTTTGGACCTTAGGAAAAAAGACGGTTCTTTCTTGGACCAAGGATCTTCTGTTTTGGATTTATCCCTGAGAAGCTCTAATTCAGAGACAATCACCTCAGATCTGCAGGCCAACAGGATAGAGATTCCTTTGTCTAGTGAACAGAAAAAAGCTAATGACACATTTAACACATTCAAGTCATCCTTGGGCCTACAGAAGGCAAGTGAATTTCAGGTATGGTAATATTGCCAATATTGCACTGACTACACCTAGTGATTTATTTTAGGGTGAGGGGTTCAAAGTAGGTAGGATTATGCAATAATAGGAAGTTAAAAGCTGGAAACCACTGATTTGCACCTTTCTTTTGGTCTGAGTATGTTATAATATTCCATTCTAATTAGCTCTCATCAGTTTTAGGGTAAGTCAAATTAAAACTCGGGGAGCTCAGTTTTCCCTAGTTTTAAGAGCAATGTTCTGTTTGGGCATTTTTGTGAGGGTGTTTCTGTTTCTGGCCTCTATACATGAACAAATTTGCAATGGGAGACCTATAGCTCCCAGGTATACAGGGACATGCAAATACCTCTTGCATAAGGTGGCATGCACACCTCTTGCACAGCAGAGAGAGATTTTCTGCAGTTGAAGTAGGGTTGAGCTTCAATAATGGTCAGTCACAGTCAGCTCCCTTCCTCCCCTTTTAGCCTTCTCTAGTGTCCAGTGGAAGTTCTCCTTATGGTTTTCACTGAATTAGTCATATACCAGAAAAGTGCAGGTGGTTGTTTACTTTTGTAAGAGCCCAGTTCAGTGTCAGTCATGCCCATACCCGTGCTGAACTCATTCTATATGGCATATGTTGTGATAGGTGAGTACAGAAATGTAATATTGGTTCCAAAATTGCATCCAAGTTTTCTGGGCATGTGGAGTTGAGATTTTTGTGCCTTTTTCTTTGGTCATAAAACAGATTTTTGATAAACTTTCATCACATCTCTGGTCATGTTGACAAATATTCTCGGTTATTGTTTTCACCTACTATAAATGTAGCTGCTTTTTATAATTGTGATTTACAATATTGTGGCTGAAAAATCATGGCAAAATGTTCATAGCATTGAAAAACAAGAGAATTGGCTTTCCCTGATGAACAACACAGTGTCTGTAGTATGTAATTTTGATGTTCTGTTTACTCTCTTTTTTTCAGTGTCACAAAACGATGCTATACTCCACAGAGGTTGCCAGTAATGTGAATGATGTCAAACACATCATTATAACCGAGAAAACTTGTACTCCATCACAAAACACTGGTTGCCTGGAACACACTGATGTACCATCCTGTAAAGATGATGGGTCATTCATTCCTTCACAAAAACAGAAGGAAAATGCAACGATTGAGCCACAAAATGTTAAGACAACTTCAGTAACTGGCTTTGTTTTACATGGATCCAGCCAAGAGAAGGTGGCTATGAAAGCTGCAACTGAAAATTCAGAATGTACAGAGACAGGTTTGGTGCAAAAGCCAGCAACGGATTCATCAAAATCCATAATGGACAAAGAGACAGAGTCCTACAAAGAAGCAGATAAGGTGGTTCAGAAAGTTGAGCTTGAAGAAATTGAATCCAAAGATGGGGAAAATTCAGAAGTGAAAGAAAATCTATCCAAAGAATGGAATATAGAACCTTCTCCAGAAGTGATCACTACAGTTGATTCTACAAAGAAGGAATTAAGTGTCATCTGCAATGGAAATTGTTTAGAAAATAAGAAGCATGTATCAAGTCAGGAACTTAATGTGGTCTCTCCAGCCTGGTCTGTCTTGGCTGAAAATGTTAATGAAGATATGAATTGTTGTACAGAACATGAAGGCAAAATGATCACAGGTGACGATCACTGTGGAAAAGAAGATGGACTTGGTGAGAGAGAGAGATGCATTTCATCTGTGGAAGCTGGCAGTGACTTGAGTGATCAACCATTGCCTATGATGCGCGACAGCCCTGATTCAGTCAAAAATGATTGTATTGCATATTGTAGTCACCGAGCACACGTTCATGAGCAACCACCTCAATCAAACTGTGAAGAAGAAGAAACCTACCATGACTTTGAGCTACGAAAGCTCAGTGCAAATGCACTGACAGATGAATGTGACATTTCAGAAAAAAATCTACACACTCTATCATTAATGGAGCCTGTATGTAGAGAACCTACCACTGAAGAAATTCCAGAAATTTTGATTTTAACAGATGAGGCACATTGTCAGAAGGAAGCATTATCCATTTCTGATGAGAGCGCCTGTTCATTAGATGGGTCTTGTGTAGATGGGTTTATTCCCCAGACAAAAGACAGAGTGGAAACAGGAAGCCAAAATATGGTGATGGCAAGCTTCAGTTTTGGTGTGAGTAGAGATGTTCATGAAGATCAGGAAACCAGATCAGTTGAGGGAAGGGAAAAACACTCTATAAAAGAACAATCTCATCATAAGTCTCATTCACTACAGGATAAGGAAATAAAAAAATGTGAAGCTGAAGAGACGATGATTACAGAATCAGATCTCAAAATAAGCAAAACAAATGAGGGATTTGAGAAAAGTCAGGGTGGGGTTATGATTCCATCTATTGGAATAGACATCTCTGGAGAGAATATAGTACAAGCACATGTCTCACACCAAGAGGGCAAGTTTGAAGAAATTTTTCATGGCCAAAAAGTAATACCATTTATCGGTGAAACGACTTACCCTGACTTACCCACAGAACTATGTAGTACATTTCAGACGTATAGTAAAAAGACAGAATTGTGTGCTGGCACTCTTCTTGATGCAAGTGAAACAAACAAGCCAGTAATCTTGGGAGGTGAGTGTGATGACAGATGCCCTACACCAACTATAGATGAGAAGCCATATGTCAACATAACCCAGAACTCTACTGGCAGTTGCTCAGCACCTGTACAAGATGTGATGTCCCCTGAGCAAAAGGTCTGTGAGGAGTCTACAGTTGGCTGCAATGCCAACCCTCATGGTGGTCTTCATCCTGATGTTGAACTAAGAACTCTGAGAGTTCTACAGAGTATAAGCAAGTTCCTCTCCGAAGCAAACCATACTGACAGACCCAATCAGACTGAAACTGCTAATACGAAGCATTCTCTTGACCAAAACCCTAACCCCAACAATTCCATCCCGATTTGCTTATCTCCAAACCACACCTCAGCTGACTTGAATGGCAAGAAAACAAGCAATACAAAACCAGCAATAGTGTCTGCCTCTACCTCACAAGATCTGCATACAGAATCATCAAATCATTTTCTCATATCACCTTTCAAGCGTAAATTAGAACAAGTACTTGGTGTTGGTTTGAAGCTAAAGAAAACCATCTCATCAGTTCCTGAACACTATTTTGAAAGAATGGATAAATTAAAAGAAATGTCTGTAGGGCAAGATGATTGTCATTCCTATGCATCGTTTCCCCCTCCTGAGTGTTCGCAAGCTGTTAAACCAAAAATGGACCAATACAGACATAACTCCACATCACTGTCCAATTTAAATCTTGAACCCCATTCATGCAGTCAGCATTCTGTCATGGTTGTGAAACCATCTAATAGTGATGAAAGTCGAGCACAATATATATCTGAAGATGAACAAACTAAAATCTCTCCCAAAAGTGAACAGATTAAAAGTTCTATGGTCACATACACCACACCTACTTCTGTGCTCTTGGAGAAGACTGAAGGTTTCAAGGAAAACTGTGAAAGACTAAATGATGATCAGAAAGTGGCCAGTGAGCTTTTTTCCAAAAGTAGCTGGTTATCAAATGTAAATGCCAGTAGTAAATCTAACTCGAATAAGGGCAAATCCACACATCCAGAGCCATCATATAAGTATCAAAAAAGGAAAATATCAAAATCCAACAAGACTGCCCTATCTTCTCTCTCCATGCAGTCATTTCAATCAGCAGAAAATTCTTCTAAGCTTGTTCATGGAAACAAAGGTTTCTTGACATATAGTTTAGTTGAGAAAGATTACCAAACAACTGAAGAGAACATTGAGTTGCATCCAGAAGACTGCTCAGATGCATCAGCTTCAGTTTTGGATTACAGAAATAAAAGCATAATGCATGACAGTGTCATCCTGGGACCTCAAAGTTCACTTGTATGTACAATCTATAACACCGACTCGAAGAAATGTTTTTCTTTTCTGGAGCAGGTTTCTCAGAGGTGCTTACAAGATGACCTAACTCAGGCATCTATGGACCAGGAACACCTTATCTTCTCAGAACAAATGAAACAGCTTCTGAAAAGGAGTAAGAGAGGACCCATCTGCCAGCAGGATGCCCGTGACAAATTGCAGTTGCCTTCCTCTAGTCCTATGACTGTGAACTTTTCCAGTATAGAGGATCACGAGGAGTTACTGGATTTCTTGGATGCACCCTCACTTGTTGGACAAAAAATCAAAGTAGACATGTCAGACAGAAAAGACCTGACACACACCACAGAGGAAAAAAAGGCTTTGCATCCTCAAAAATTAACTCCAGGAACAACCAGCCCTGTAGAACAATCTGGAGTTTCTGCTGTGACTGCAGAATGTGCCAGACTTTACAAGGCAATGATGAATGATGTTTGTGCTTTCAAAACCATCCCATATGGATCTAAGCACTTCAGAATGGACAGAGGTTACCAAAAGGCTGAATCAAGTAACCATTTTGACTTCTGGGATCAAATAAAGAGAGAGATGCATGAGAGCTTCCATAGTAATCTGAATTCACTGGTGAAGAAATCCTGTAAAACAAGGTATAGATTCTACATATTAGTGACGTCAGATGATGCCTTCTTTGAAGAAACCAAGGTAAGATGATTTTTCAAAAACTTATAATGGAATATATTTTTCAATTATGCATGCATTCTTGAACTGAGAGTGATATGACATCCAAAATGTATTTTTTGACCATGTAATATTCATGCCTGCTACAGGTACCAGCACAAAATTATTGTTTGCTCAATAATGGAGATAGCTTGGGTTCACTGCAAAAAAAAAAAAAATTCAAAATATCCATGCAAATTTCTTATCCTAGTTCTGCAGAGTAATAACCTTTCTGGTTTCCCACATTAGTTTTATGGCTAAACATACCGCTTCTGTCCCAGTCAGCAAATATGAACAAGCTGCTCTCTAGGTCAAGAATAAACAATTGTTAACTTTCAAGTGTGTGGCTACCTGCCTGTTTGACAGGGTTGTGCATGTGAATTGAGACATAAGCAGTGTTTAGTCATGTTTTGGTGAAAATATGACTGAACACCAAGTAAATGTATGGGCAACTGGGGTGTCTTAAGAGGTTTCTGTGGAAAGTGGCTTTTTAAGATTGTCATTTCTCCTTGATCTTCTAAAGGCACAGTTGGAGGCAGAGGGCCATACTGCTGTACAGCCATCTGAGTTTTTTCTCAGTGAGAAAGGTTCGCCTCTACTCATTATCCTCAAGAATGAAGACATTGCAGGGCACATTTGGGAGGTAAGGGATCAGCTAGTGTAAAAGATCACAATAGGACTTTGGCAATTATAGATAATCACGATTTGATGACTCTTCTCTCTGGTATCTTAGATCCCACATTTGCTCGAGCTGAAGAAGTCACCAGGAGTACACTTTGCTGGAATCGATCAACCTGATGATGTTGTAAATCTCACCCATCAGGAACTCTTCACCCAGGGTGGTTTTATAATGTTTGATAGGGCAGCACTGGAGAAGCTCAGGATCTGTATGTGCACTTTTTACTTAGTAACAGCTTTTTGTTATACAGCATAAGATCTTGTCATGCAAGCAGCCTAAGTTATTCATGACCTTCACTTTGTGTTGAATTTTTAGGCAATCTGAAAAAAATCTCTGACATCTTGCAAGAGCTAAGCAGAACAGGGAAGTGGAAATGGATGTTACACTACAGAGACAGTCGTCAGCTGAAAGAAAATGCAAGGTGGGGTGGGTTCAGCCTTGGAAATGACTACAAAAGTGCCCTGTTTCTCCCTTTCATAGCTGTTCTAATGTTTTTTGTAGTTCATTTTTTCCCCAAAAAGATAAAACTTATAATGCAACATATTCTAGTAAACAGAAAAACCACACTGTGTAGAGCAAGCTGGAAAAGTAGGTAATGGACCAGTTCGGGGGAAGAGTGTGTGAGCAGGTTAATCTCTACAGACATCTATACAACCCTAAACAGACATCAGTGACTTGATGTGCTTGCCAGCTACAACACATTGGTTATTACACAAGTATAACCTACTCTGCAGGGTCGATATCTGCTGCTACAGGATGTATTTCCTGTACATTACTTCTTCTATTGTTATTCCAGTGGTTTAGATTGTGGTTTTCTCAGCAGCAACACATATCGTTTAGGAGAAGACTGCAGTGAGCCAAGCAAGCCTCAAGCACAACTGTAAGCGATTCTGGCTCTGTGTTGATGTCACAGAAAACAGGGCAATGACCAGTACCTCAAACATAACCATGGCTTTATGTAGCTAATTGAAAACAGCTGTGCTAAAACTAAGCTAGCTGCCTCTGACTGTGTTTTCAGAAAATTACTGTTACTTTGTTAGGAAACTTAAACATGATTATGCTATTCTAAAACATCCAGTTGAAGTGTCCAGTCTGCAACAGCAGGTTCCTCTCCTTCCCATTCAGAATCAGACTGTCGTTCATATTTCTTTATATACTGTCCTGCAGTCCCAGCTGCAGCCATTGTTGCAAGGTAAGGACTGAGTGTAAGGGTACTTGCGTTATTTATTAGGTCTTATTTTGATTGGCTTGGGGTGAACATCATCACCTCCAGGCAATGAGAGTAGTTGCTCATGAATAATGTACATTTTATGTTGATAATTTCCAAAACAGCCTGCTAGAGGACAGAGGGAAATTTGAGCTGTGTGTAAAGATGAATTTACAGTAGTGCACCTTATAAAAAGTTTGTTGAAATCTTGTCTGCATGGTTGAACATTTTCTTGTCCAAATTACAGGTTGAGTGCAGAGGCAAAGGAGAAGAAGCAGTTCATAAACTGGTGTCAGGACACCGGAATACTGGAGGTCTTGCCTTACCATGAGTGTGATCTCATGTCAAAAGATCAGCCTGACTATCTGACATGTTTGGTCCGCTTGCAGGTCCAGAACATATCAGCCCGTTATTCTGTTTTTATTACTGGTGAGATCCTAATGCACTCATTTTGAACTGATACTTGGAATACAATCACCTGACATTGTGGTTTTATTTTTTGAAGGTGTAGTTTGCATGATTTTATAAACATGTCTAATGTTACCTTTAATTACAGGTTAATTAAATCATACATTTCCATGTGTCAGTGGCTCAAAACTGACCATGTTAATATTTGTAGATACTTTTTTTTTTAATCCCTAAAAGACCAATAGCAGCAGTTGAGTTTTTGCACCATGTCTGAGTTAGAGCATGGATCCAGCTGCATATCTCTGTCCAAACCCAACCCGTACCCAAGAGTGTAGCATCAGAACCCGACTTGGACCAGACCGGAAGCTTCTAGTATATAATGTCTAAACCCGACCTGAGTCCAACACAGTTGATTTTGTATAGTATTTTTCCCTTTATCATTAAATGAAGCAGACATTTGAGTGCTCCAGCCATGTAGCCTAAACCTTGACCTACACGTCCAAGCCCAACCCAGACCTAAACATAATTTCTACATTTCTGCCTAAACCCCCTTGGGCACTGATGGGTCCTGTCGGGCTCAATTCAGGTATTCCACACTCTAGTCTGAGTGAACCTGTAAAGGTTTTAGTTTCCTAGTGCAAAAAGAATAATATGCATTTCTTGTTCTTACAGATACAACAGACAGTGCATTTGGGAGAAATGGAATTTTAACAATGACTGTCAACTCTTTCCTCATGAACTCTCCAAGCAAAATGTTTACTGTCTGATGACTGTTTTCAAGTATACAACTGTCAAAAACTTACTGGATTTGAGAAGAAACCAGTAATTGACAAGTGATGGCTTCATTTTGTATGTAGCAATAATTACTGGCTTGACATGTTTTTGATCCATGTTCAGTTGTAAATTTGTAAAGTATTGTTCACTAATAAGTACATTGAATATTGGAATTACTATTAGACAGGAGTGTCCTACACACCGTATGTCCTGTATTGTGTTGTATTTTTTATTGTAACTTATATTATAAACTTGTTCGAAGTAATTTGTACATTTTGTATATTTTGTTAGCAATCTTGTAATTCAGACTTTATACAATTGCAGCACAATCATTAGTAGTCCACTAGTGTAGTTTTAACTTTTTTTGGTCAGGAGACTGTTCACAAAGAGTTTTTGATGAATGTTATTGTAGTACTTTATCCAGGACTTGCTAAATTAAGCTGCTTTCAAGTTGCGTGTTTCATATTAAAGTATGATGTTATAAGCTATTGTAGTGGTTGCTGCCAGTGTTTCCTAACTCTTGTATTGTTTAAGTGCAGCTATTTAGCATTATTACAAGATGCTAAAAATGTTTAATTATATTAATTCTATACAGAACAATAACTAGGAATGAAGAGCTGTGTTTTGTTGTTTTGCTTGGGGAAAAAAAAAAAAATCAATGTTGGATGAAGAATCTGCACCCTGTTCCTGACTACTCGCGCTACACTTCAGGACATGTTCCCATTTACAGAACAACCTGAGACCCACAACAAAGATAAATGGCCTCCATCTTGCTGTTAAAAATGAATGTTCTTCACTCAACAGAAAAAGATTGTTAAAATCAATATATAATTTTGGCAAAGAAAATCAAGTTCAATTTCATCAGAGTGGCATGCTTCAAAACTAATGTTATGTATTCACAACTTTAAGTAATTCTAGTCTTAATTTACACTCAGCCTTGATTTAGAAATTAAACCTGGTAGTGACAGAAGATGAAAAACTCAGTGAAGTTTTAGTGTGAGATTTACTTCTCTAAATAAATAAATAACTACGGTATGCTTGAAAACAGTAGAAGGCCATGGTTTTGTTAGTGAATTTATTTAGATTTACTCCAGTATTGCTTTAACATGTGGGTTCTAGGGAATAAAAAGGTAGTACTCTGATACTGAATGGTCATGGCTTACCTGGTTATAATACAAAGCGATAGTTGAGGAGTTTGTAGTGGGCCATTGCTTCAATATTTAGTTACATTTGCACTGAGCTGCACTTTAGAATGGTACTATATACTTCTGCTGCTAATATGCTGTTGACCTGATTAAGTCCTCCACATCTTCATTTTTATTTGTTTATATTCATATATTAACTGTACAATTCTTGTGTTATTTATGTAAATAATGTGCCTTTTAATCCGAGAGCTCCTGGAAGAAATTTTGTTGTGCTATGCATAATGACAATAAAGATTTTCTTGACTCTTGACATTGCTTTGATATATTCCTTTGTTATAAGTAAATATGTGTTTGTGTAGGTAGAGTGAGCCATAAAATACGCAATGGAAAATTATGAAGAACTTTATTTAGCCAGGATAGAGCCTCAATGAGAATAAAAACAGGACTGCCCTGGCCAGGACAGCAGCAGCAGCAGCAGCACAGAACACAGAGGTTACAAAACAGTAAGCCATGCTCAAGAGGATAATATAAAATTTTTATATAGCAAAAGTATGCCACAACAACAAATATAAAACATATGCAGTAGATTCAGATGCTTTAAAATAAATACATAAACTAGATAAAACCAATAACACTGGTGCTCACTGTAGCCTAAATCACAACAAATAAAATTGTTTAGAAAGATTTATAGCACAGTTTACACAAGATGTAGATTTGGGATGCAACTTAAAACCATGAGAGAGGACATTAAATTCACAGGCATATTGCTTTCAGTTGTGTCCTGTGATGCCCAAAAAACAGTATTACATGTAAGAACGGGGCGTTTGTATAAATAGTGCAGCAGAGATAAGACTGAATAAGCTTATATTTTAGAAATACTGTACACCTAAAAGACATAATTTTATAAAGCATGATTTAAAGCACTTAATGACATCAAGATTTTTGTGACATTACATTATATTTTTTGTAGTTGCCTATTGTCATTGAAAATCATCAGGTTGGATTTGTTTTAATCCAGCACCATCTAGTGCAGGCAGTTAAACCTGCATTAGTTGCTCAATCAAACCATATTTGTGTCATCTGAGAGCATTATGAGAAAAAAACACACTAGGTAGTGTGATCAATGGCCATGGTAAGAGCAAAATTGGTTCCTGTCTGCTTGATAACTGAGAACAACACAACACTTTTGATAGTGACAGTTATTGTCATCATGAGGTTACTATCACAGAAAACTGACAATCGCAAATACTCAAATTTGGGAAGCTGATACCTGTGAATGTTTGGCAATTGTTGGTAGATACAACATGAACTATTATCGGGATTGATGCCATGTAGGCTACTGATTGGTTTCTGGGTGCCATGAGGGAATAATGAAACTGCCATGCAGTGTTGGAAGAAGTCCTCAGATTATTTGTTGTATTTTGTTGCCTTGTGCTTGTACATAGGTAATGACAAAAAAGTTAAATCTAATCTAATCTAATCTATTTACTTAAGTAAAGATAGCAATACTACAGTATAGAAACATCCTTCATTCAGTACAAATGTAGCACCCTGAAAAAACTACTTGAAGTAGGGGCCTACCAAAAGTGAAAGCAGTTGTTATACATCCATCCATCCATCCATTTTCTTCCGCTTATCCGGGACCGGGTCGCGGGGGCAGCAGTCTAAGCAAAGATGTCCAGACTTCCCTCTCTCCAGACACTTCCTCTAGCTCCTCCAGGGGAATGCCAAGGCGTTCCCAGGCCAGCCGAGAGACATCGTCCCTCCAGCATGTCCTGCGTCTTCCCCGGGGCCTC